TAATGGTCACGTCACTTAACCAGCAATTCTGAAATGCTGGGTTCAAGCCCTGGGTCTGGATGTTTCTCTCTCTCTCGGGGGGTTCTTAATGGCCATGCCGCTTAACCAGCAATTCTGAAATGCTGGGTTCAACTCCTGGGCCTGGATGTTTCTCTCTCTCTCGGGGGGTTCTTAATGGCCATGTCGCTTAACCAACAATTCTGAAATGCTGGGTTCAACTCCTGGGCCTGGATGTTTCTCTCTCTCCCGGGGGGTTCTTAATGGCCATGTCGCTTAACCAGCAATTCTGAAATGATGGGTTCAAGCCCTGGGTCTGGGTGTCTCTCTCTGTCTCTCGGGGGGTTCTTAATGGCCATGTCACTTAACCAACAATTCTGAAAATCCGGGTTCAAGCCCTGGGTCGTGGATGTTTCCCTCTCTCTCAGGGGATGCATAATGACTACGTCACATAACCAGCAATTCTGAATGCTGGGTTCAAGCCCTGGGTCTGCGTGTCTCTCTCTCTCTCTCTCTTTCTCTCCATCAGGGCGGGTTCACAATGGACATGCTAATGTCACACTGCGGCAGCCCTCGACTCGTTGCAGGCATTCCGTTTGTGTGTGGTGAGATTGTGATGCCTCGTGTACGCCAACCCTAGCGGCATGCCCTGGGTCTCGCCAGATCTCGAAGGCTTAAGGAGGCTGTGAGCCTGGGCAGTTGCCTGGATGGAGGCCCAACGCTATGCACAACAACAAGGGTGCAGCAGCTGCTTGCATGGCTACACGGGAGCAGTGCAGGGAAACGCATCGCCTTCAGGAACTGCTTTCTGTGTTTAGGTGTCCTTCTTGTCGGTTGGCTACGTACGGTGCGAAAGAAGTTCAACACATACATCCGTAAGCCCGAGTGCTCAATGAGACTGTTGGGGCGAGAGCTGTTAGCGTGTAGTCACACCCCGGTTTACGTCGGGGATGCGTTCCTGAAAGGTGCCGTGACGAATGTCGAAACGACGCCAATCAAAGAGCGGTGTACAGGGTAGTGGAAATAGGTGGTGGTGGTGGTGGTAGTGGTAGTGGGTGGTGGTGGATGGTAGTGGGTGGTGATAGTGGGTGGTGGTGGTAGTGGGTGGTGGTGGTGGTGGAAATAGGTGGTGGTGGTGGTGGTAGTGGTAGTGGGTGGTGGTGGATGGTAGTGGGTGGTGATAGTGGGTGGTGGTGGTAGTGGGTGGTGGTGGTGGTGGTGGTAGTGGGTGGTGGTGGATGGTAGTGGGTGGTAGTGGTAGTGGGTGGTGATAGTGGGTGGTGGTGGTAGTGGTAGTGGGTGGTGGTGGTAGTGGGTGGTGGTGGTGGTGGTAGTGGGTGGTGGTGGTGGTGGTAATAGGTGGTGGTGGTGGTGGTGGTAGTGGGTGGTGGTGGTAGTGGGTGGTGGTGGATGGTAGTGGGTGGTGGTGGTAGTGGGTGGTGGTGGTAGTGGTAGTGGGTGGTGGTGGTAGTGGGTGGTGGTGGTGGTGGTAGTGGGTGGTGGTGGTAGTGGTAGTGGGTGGTGGTAGTGGGTGGTGGTGGTAGTGGGTGGTGGTGGTAGTGGTAGTGGGTGGTGGTAGTGGGTGGTGGTGGTAGTGGGTGGTGGTAGTGGGTGGTAGTGGGTGGTGGTGGTGGTAGTGGGTGGTGGTGATAGTGGGTGGTGGTGGTGGGTGGTGGTGGTGGGTGGTGGTGGTGGGTGGTGGTGGTGGTGGTGGTAGTGGGTGGTGGTGGTGGAAGTGGGTGGTGGTGGTGGTGGTAGTGGGTGGTGGTGGTAGTGGGTGGTGGTAGTGGGTGGTGGTGTTGGTGGTGGTAGTGGGTGGTGGTGGTGGTGGTAGTGGGTGGTGGTGGTGGTGGTGGAAGTGGGTGGTGGTGGTGGTGGTGGTAGTGGGTGGTGGTAGTGGGTGGTGTTGGAGGCGACGGCTGAGAGGCTGTCACAGCGACGTGAGTGTGGGGGGGGGGGGTTGAGGCGACCCCATTCGGGTCGTGGTGCTGCACTCCGCTCCCACCTCGACGCGTACCGCCTGCGCCAACGTGCGCTGACCAGAGTGGTGAAGTATGGTCAATTACCGCCACCCCCAGCCTCCGTTCCACCGCCACCACCACTGTGATCCTCATGGCGTGGGGAGGCCCTCATCCAGCAGTGGGTTCGCACAGAGGTTGTACATCTACATCGTCTGATGTGACCTCTTAAAACTCGTCCATGTCTGACCTATGACCTCCAAAGTGCTCACCCGGTGTTTCTGACACGGCCACTGCGAACCCCCTGAGAACGAGAGACACCCAGACCCGGGGCTTGAGCCCACGATCTCAACCAGTACTGCCTCAGATTCTCTGACACGGCCGTTATGAACCTCCTAAGAGAGACACCCAGTGCCAGGGCTCGAACCCAGCAATTCGTCAATGTCAGTCCTCTGTTTCTGACACGACCATTATGAGCCCCCTCCCTCCCCCTTGCCCAGCCACACCGCACGTACAGACACAAAAGACAAAGATCCCCTGTGTAGCCTTAACAGACTGTTGGGGCAAGTGCAATGGACTGCCACGTGCAATTGACAAAGATCCCCCGTGTAGCCTTAACAGACTGTTGGGGCAAGTGCTGCTGGCGAGTAGCATCACTTGCGAAGATCGGCACGGCACACTACGAGGGGGTGGGTGGCCAGCACCATGCCTGGCCGTCTTTGTCTCTCCAATGGCGATTATTTAACGCACCGCCCCAAGTACTCATTTGAGGCTGAGTCGACCTAGGGGAGGCCCAGGACCGGTTCAGATAATCGTCACCGGTGTTGGCCGTTGGAGCGGGAATCGAACTCGGGTCGCCGAGTTCAGTAGCACAGCGCGCTTATCGCAACACCACCGGTCCAAAGATAAAGATCCCCCGTGTAGCTTGTCACAGACTATTGGGGCAAGTGCAATCGACTCGCACATGCAATGTTAGGGCAAGTGCTGTTCGCGAGCACCTATGAAGGCTGGCACGTTAAACGAGCGGGTGGGTGGCCAACACCACGCCCGGCCGCCTTTGTCTTCCGTAGTAGCGATGTTTTTAAACACTGCACCGGGAACTCATTTGAGAGCGAGTCGACCTATGCGTCGCCACACACACCACACACACCACACACACCACACACACCACACAGACACCACACACACCACACACACACACACCACACACACCACACACACCACACACACACCCACACACACCACACACACACCACACACACCACACACACCACACACACCACACACACCACACACCACACACACCACACACACCACACAGACACCACACACACCACACACACACCCACACACACCACACACACCACACACGCACACACACCACACACACACCACACACCACACACACACACACCACACACGCACACACAGCACACACCACACACACCACACACACCACACACACCACACACACACCACACATACACACCACACACCACACACACCACACACACCACACACACCACACACGCACACACACCACACCCCACACACACACCACACACGCACACACACCACAGACCACACCGCACACCACACACCACACACACACCACACACACACACTACACACATACACACCACACGCACCACACACACACCACACACACACCACACACACACAAACCACACACACAACCACACACACACACCACACACACCACACACAACACACACACACACCACACACACACACACCACACACACCACACACACACACCACACACATACACACCACACACACAGACACCACACACACATCACACACACATCACACACACCACACACACACCACACACACACCCCACACACACACATCACACACACACCCCACACACACACCACACACACCACACACACACCACCCACACACACCACACACACCACACACACCACACACACGCCCCACACACACACCCCACACACACACCACACACACACACACCACACACACACACCACACACACACCACACACCACACACATACACACCACACACACACCACACACATACACACCACACACACACACCACACACACACCACACACACACACCACACACACACCACACACACACCACACACACACACCACACACACCACACACACACCACACACACACCACACACACACACACACACCACACACACACCACACACACCACACACACACACCACACACACACACACACACACACCACACACACACCACACACACACACACACACACACACCACACACACACACACACACACACACACACACACACACACCACACACACACACACACCACACACACACACACACCACACACACACACACACACCACACACACCACACACACACACACACACACCACACACACACACCACACACACACACCACACACACCACACACACCACACACACCACACACACACACACCACACACACCAACACACACACCACACACACCACACACCACATACACACCCACACACCACACACACACCACACACACACACACCACACACACACACCACACACACACCACACACCACACACACACCACACACCACACACCACCACACACACCACACACACACACCACACCACACACACCACACACACACACACACACACACACCACACACACCACACACACACACACACACCACACACACACCACACACACACCACACACACCACACACACACCACACACACCACACACACACACACCACACACACGCGCGGCTCCTCGGCTTGACACCCAAGTGACCCGTGCTGGGTTTGGACGCGCCGTGGCAGGGGGGGGTGGGCGGCTGGGATCGGGTTCCCGAGTTAATAAATAGGGAGAAGTCTCTTCGGCAGCGAAAGACAAGATTGTTGGAATCTGCTAATCGGATTTTCTCTGCTCTCCCCCCCACCCACCACCACCACCACCACCCCTGCACCACCCTCCACAAACCACCACGGCCACCACCCCCCCCGTGTATTTTTATCCCGAGGGAGGAGAGGCAGTCGTGTGTCCAGGCGCAGTCGGAAGCTGACCGCCAGCCGTGTCAGAAGCCCCCGCAGCAGCCACCATGCCCGAGGCGACCGCCACCGCAGGTGAGGAGGGATTCCTGAATCCATCTGTGCGTGCGTGCGTGCGTGTGTCTCTCTCAAATGCACGTTACCCCAACACAGCCTTTGCGAGGCTATACGGGGGATCTTTGTATTTCATTGTATTTAGACCCCTAGGGTGTGTAGTCGATTGCACTTGCCCCAACAGCCTGTGCTAGGCTATACGGGGGATCTTTGTCTTTAATGCACTTGCCCCAACAACCGGTGTAGGCTATACGGGGGATCTTTGTATTTGTGTGAAACTTCACGAGGTCCTCAAAGTGCACCTAGCCTGGCACAAGCGCTGCGTTGACGTCACCGTTACATGCACGGGCTGATTGTATGTGTGCATAAATGTGCGTTTTTGCATAGGTGTGCGTGTGTGTGTGTGCATAGACGTGTGTGCAAAGGTGTTGATGCACGCACACATATTAGCGCTGGGAAGACAAAGGCGGCCGGGCGTGGAGCTGGCCACCCGCCCCCTCCGTGTGCCACTGTGCCGGCCTTCATAGGCGCTGCGACTCGCTAACAGCACTTGCCCCAGCAGTCTGTTAAGGCTACACGGATTCCCATTGTACGTGTGTGTGTGTTACACACAGCTGACCGCTGTAGCTTTGTCATCATCATCGTGAGCCATGGTTAATCCACTGCGGGATGAAAGCCTCCCCAAGATATGCCTTAATACGTGTGTGTGTGTGTGTGCACATGAACAGCACGTAGACGTGGAAAGTTGGGCCACCTTTGACCCAACGGCTCCAACCACACGCCTCAACGTGGGCCCTACGTTGGGCGTGCTAACAGGGCATCTCAGAATCACCAAAACTTATTGATACCTGAGGAATCCGATGAGATGTGAACCTCCTTTTCGTAAAGTGATCGCTGTAGCAGCAACTGCCCCCAACAGTTTTTTTTAAAGGCTGTGGAGGAGGCAGATCTTTGTCTTTAAGAAGAAAGGGATCTCCGATGTTTCGGCTAATCGTAAAATGCATCATTTGGGACGGATCAAATTAAAGTTGTTGCGGTTGCGATATTTGTAAATGTTACCGGGGAAAAAGCGAAATCGCATCACGTGACGTCACCGCAAATGACGTCATAAATAGGTGACGTCACAAGATGTGACGCACACGGCAATGACGCAGCACACACGACACCACCCCGCGCTGCGCCACGTGGCGTTGTCTGTGACGTCACTTTAGTGAGCACGAGGACGTGATTTGCAATCGAGACGAAACGATAGAAACGAAAGCTTCGCTATTTTTGGGATTATACCAGGTAAGGGCTCCATTGGGATGTGTGGTAGCTGTTAGTACAGAAGCTACCTGGCCATCACAAATGATAGCTTGACAAAGTGGTGGCTTTTCATCGCGTGGACGTTTATAGCGTGCTGTTGATTCTAAATGTGGAGGGAAAAACCGGAGGACCCGGAGAAAAGTCCACAGCAACACGGGGAGAGAGACACGCAAACTCCAAATATAGAAAATCTGTGGCAATGTTCTTATAAAGGGAACCGGTTCCCATAGGAAGTCTATGGGACAATGTTAAGAGATAGGGAACCGGTTCCCATAGAAAGTCTATGGGACAATGTTAAGAGATAGGGAACCGGTTCCCATAGAAAGTCTATGGGGCAATGTTAAGAGATAGGGAACCGGTTCCCATAGAAAGTCTATGGGGCAATGTTAAGAGATAGGGAACCGGTTCCCATAGAAAGTCTATGGGGCAATGTTAAGAGATAGGGAACCGGTTCCCATAGAAAGTCTATGGGACAATGTTAAGAGATAGGGAACCGGTTCCCATAGAAAGTATATGGGACAATGTTAAGAGATAGGGAACCGGTTCCCATAGAAAGTCTATGGGGCAATGTTAAGAGATAGGGAACCGGTTCCCATAGAAAGTCTATGGGGCAATGTTAAGAGATAGGGAACTGGTTCCCATAGAAAGTCTATGGGACAATGTTAAGAGATAGGGAACCGGTTCCCATAGAAAGTCTATGGGACAATGTTAAGAGATATGGAACCGGTTCCCATAGAAAGTCTATGGGGCAATGTTAAGAGATAGGGAACCGGTTCCAATAGAACCAGGAGTGTATTTCCTGAATACACCCGTAGAACTGGAAGACAGACATCACCAAAGCACTCCACAATCACAGATTTAGATAAAACCTAAAACCACAGCAACAATAATAGTGACAGCGTTTACGATGTCAGAATGGCATTCACACTCACACGTGAGTGACTTTTTCAATGATAGACTCGGCGTCAATGAGGACCGAGAGGAGAGGGCGGAGATTGCGAGAGGCGACCCTGGGTGGTGGAACTCGCTTTGTCGAGAACCTCCGATTGCCACGGTTTGCGACGTAAAGTGCGAAAGAAGGTCATCGTCCATGCTTTCGCCAACATACACTGACCAGAGTGGTGAAGTATGGTCAAATACCGCCACAACCCCTCCCCCTACCGCCTTTCCGCCTGGGTTCGCACAGATGTTGTACATCTACATCGTCCGATGGGACCTCTTAAAACTCGTGGATGTCCGACCTATGATCTCCTAAAGTGCTCACCCGGTATCTCTGACACGTTCATTATGAACCTGAGAGAGAGAGACACAGACCCAGGGCTCCAACCCAGCATTTCAACAACGCCAGTTTGTCATCTCTAACACGGACATTATGAACCTCCTGAGAAAGAGAGACACCCAGACCCAGGGCTCGAACCCAGCATTTCAACAACGCCAGTTTCTTGTTCAATACATAGCAGCTGGGAAGCTTCATAATTAATTGTCATTCATTATTATTTGCGTACCCGGCACACCACATCCAGGATATCCCCCTCGCCATGCATCGTTTCTGGAGTTTACTTTAGTCACAGTGGGTCACCTACTCGAGTTATTGTTGCTGTTGTTGATGTTGTTATTGTTGATGTTGCTATTGTTGACGTTGTTTTGCTGCCTTGTATTATGGTGTTGACAAATTGTCAGTAATGTACGTACTTGTGTGCAATTTGTACTTTATACTTCATTGATATATCTCTCTATATATTTTAAACAAACTAAACTATGTATTTATTTGACCAGGTAAGGCCCACTGAGCTGTGTAGCTCGTCATCAGAAGCGACCTCGCCATCACAAATAATAGCTCAACCAAGTGGGCTTATCGCGTGGCAATGTTTAGCATCTAAATACTCAACTCAACTTTTTATTTTACCCGCTGTAAGGCCCCACTGAACAACGATAGCCCAACGAAGTGGCTTACCATCATCATCACGTGGAGATTTATATCAGCAGGCAGATCCCTGAACGGGTGGTGAGGTTGATTCTAAATGTGGAGGGGAAAACCCGGAGGACCCGGAGAAAAATCCACGCGACCATGGGAGGAGACAGAGAGGGAACACACAAACTACAAATATACAACAGGCGTCGTCAGGGTCGGGATCGAACCCACGACCTCCTGTATACCGGGCGAGGTAGTTAACATCACGCAGCCACTGTGATGATGAGAGAGAAAGAGACACGCAAACTCCAAAAACACAGCAGCAGACGTCGTCAGGGTCGGGATTAAGCCCACGACCTCCTGTATACCAGGCGAGGTAGTTAACATCTCCTATCCACAGTGGTGCGTCCTGCATGCGGGCAGTCGTTGGAGGCCGCCATTCAGACATTCCCAGCCTGACTCGGGCGTAGCTACAAGTCTCCGTTATTCTTCCACTGGCCACGATTTATTTTTTCGGGCGATGACTTTGGTGGTGGAGATTCTTGTTATTTTTGTTATTTTTGTTGTTGTTATCTTCCGCTGACAATGCTCATTCTGCGCTTATTTGCCCAGCGCTACGATCTTCACTCGTCACGTCAAATCATTGTCACCGCCATCATGATCATAGCATTCGAATTGTATCGGGACGCTGCGCTGTCCAGGGTGCTGAAATCTCACTCTGAATACTCTCTCACGCCTTCAAAGCGATCGCGTTACTCAGAACGCTGTCGCTTTGTCTTCGTTACCAACTTCGTCCGAACCGCGTCACGTCGTGTGTGACACGAGTAGAGACGGGGCCGCAGAAGCCGATATTACAGAGCTACCTCTGAGATCCATTGTTCGAAGTGCCCTGCGGTGCACACGAAAACGTCTTCTTCTTGTCTGTGTGTGAGTCTATGGGTCTCTCTGTGACTCTATGTGTGAGTCTATGGCTCTCTGTGTGGGTCTATGGGTCGCTGTGTGATGAGTGAATGGCTATATGTGTGTCTATGGCTCTCTGTGTGGGTCTATGGGTCGCTGTGTGATGAGTCAATGACTCTATGTGTGAGTCTATGGCTCTTTGTGTGAGTCTATGGGTCGCTGTGTGATGAATGTTAAAGCCCAGTCTTTCCCTGCAGACATCTGGGCAGTCTCATCAGCATTGGTTCAAGCGAAGCCTGACTCTTGCTGCTGATGAGACAGCGAATGTTGAAACCGGTCCAGGGCCTTTGCTCGTCTTGCATCAATGCACGCTGAAATTGTGCACTCGCAAAAGGCCGGCACGGCTGACGGGATGTGTAGAGAATGCGTTCATTATTATTGTGTCACGTGGAGAGATCGGTGTTCTCGACCCATCTATTTTTTGCGAGGCTCAGCGAAGTGGCTGTCATCCGCACAGCGCCGCCTGCAGCCCTTCGCCAATCCACCGCTGGATGAAGGCTTCCTCCCCCTCAGGCCACGTCGGGGGTTGGTGGTGAGATGTTGACCACCTCGCCTGGTCGTGGGTTCAATCCAGACCCTGACGATGCCTGCTGCTGTGTATTTGGAGTTTGCGTGACTCTCTCTCATCATCATCATCATCATCACGGTGGCTAGGAGATGTTAACTACCTCGCCTGTTGTACAGGAGGTCGTGTGTTCGATCCCGACCCTGACGATGCCTGCTGCTGTATATTTGGAGTTTGCGTGTCTCTCTCTCTCCCCGTGGTCGCGTGGATTTTTCTGCGGATCCTTCCGTTAATTTCCCTCCACACTCGGAAACACGCGTTCATATTAGTTGTGTGGCC